CCTATTTATAGGAGAGCGTTTGGGCGGGAAACCAGTCCACTTGCGTGACGCGACCGCTGCTGATTCCGAGGCGACCGTTGCAGTCGCGTTGGCCGGCAGTCGTCGACACGTGGCAAGGGAGGGAATGACAGCTGGCCGGTCGGTTTGGCGGCGGACCGTTGGGCTTCTTCATCCCGTCCCGTTTTTTCCCGGACGGTCAAAAAGGCACGGACTGGGGGGCTCTTGGTAGGGAATATCCCGACCGACATAATATTACCCCGATCCCTGTGCCTTTGTCCTTTTCTCCTTGTCTTTGCAGGTTACAGGTCGGTTTTCTTGTGAAGAACCCGGTCGAGGTCCGACCGGGAGTTACCCGATTGGCAGTGTCGGCCACCGAGCGGTAGCCCTTAGCGAAGGAGCTGAGAAGATACACGTGGCGGCTCCACGCGTTGACAGGCAGGGCACCCGGGAAGGCGACACGTGGTTGCTACGTGGGAGGCATGCCGGACGACCGGATTTGTGTCTCCAGCTCCGCGGCTATAAATACCCGCGATAGCAACAGTGTGAGGGACTTTTGGACGATCGATAGGTTGTTGTTAGAGAATCCCGACCGCAGTCAGTCGGTACTCAGAGCAACCATTTAGATTGTACTTAGGGCCTTCACTGTGATCAATAAGAGTTATTTAATTGCTTTAATTGGTCTCGTGTTTATTTAATTACCGCATTACGTGGCAATTAGCACTATCAGGTTGGTTTGGAAACTCAAAAATTAACTTTCAAGCGTTATTTTATGATTTTTGTCCCGTGTTTGGCTATGAAAGGTAAATAAAGTTAACGTGAAAATATTCATTATGATCAAAACAAATTACCTATTTGGCCAAAAAAATCTATTATGAAATTTCTATTCCGAATATATTTGTTAAATTTATGTCTCACGTTTAGTTCTCTATCTCTATAAATGGTGTCAAATGGACAGATTGGACCACCATCTCTCTTGTCAATTATCATTATTAGAACTGCACTAAGCGTAGGGCTCTTAACGAACTGAACATGAACAAAAAGACGTTGTTCGTGTTTGTTTGTTAAGAATTTTAGAGTGTTCGTTTGTTAAGATTTTTTAAAAATTATGTTCATGTTCGTTTGTTAAGCATTCATTAGTGTTCGCTAACATTCACAAACATATTTGGTAACGTTTGTGAACACGTTAGTTCACGTTCATGAACACGGTTCCTTTACAGCTGCTGCAAATAGTTTTGGGACAGCAAATGCGTTTGGCCAGAGCAATTTTCTTCAGCCGTATGTCGAAACTCTTCTTTATTATTACTTGAAGAATCCTTTTTATACTGCTACATGTATGGCTCCCATGCCAACAAAAGAAAGGGTAAAATAAAAGGAAACGGAGATTTTTGAAATATCTGATGGTGGTAGCTGATATCATTTTTTAGGTTTTATAGTAGCTCCTTTTGGTTTTTCGGGTGAAATCCATTGGGGATGGCCAGACAGGGCACTGATCCTCATCGGTAATGCTTTTGTTGTTGTTGGTCCCTCTCTTCTATACGCTTTCTTACCATTTTGTTGACGTGTTCCAGTCTTTTATTTTTCAGCTATTGGTTTAGGATTTGTATCGTTTCTGTACACAAAGATTGTGTATATTGGACGCTTTTCGTGTGCATTCAGTTGCATGTTTCATCGGAAAAATGATTTGGTTTCTAGAACTAAATTTCAAATGTGTTATTGGTATCGAAATGACAAATGTATTCAAGTGTTAGGTCGCTGTTGAAGCATTATATATAGTGTACATGGACTCCATGCTTACACTAAGCCTTCCCAATCAGGTAGATGTTGCACTTTGCGTCCGATCCTATTTTACATTGTAGATTGTCGTCCAAAATGACATAGTTAATATATGATGTACATTTAGTTAAATTAATAAATTATATATATCGTTATCAATTAGGCTAGCACGTTTGATTTTGGGCTAGCTTTAGTGGTCTAATAATTTTTATTTTTGGTTGGGTTAAAAATTCGGTCTTAAACCTTCGGTTGTTTGGCTTAGGCAAATTATGTCCTGGACCCGTGTCCATAATTTATTGTGGACACGAGTCCAAAACGACGTCGTTTTTAAGAAAAACGCGTCATTTCAGTTATTTTTTTTTTTTTTTTGATTTTGTCTCGCCGTTAATGACGTTATTCGTTTGTGCCATTATGAATGTACAGTTATGACATTATGAATGTAAGTTATAAAATTATAAATACAGAATTCTGACATTATTAACTTACAATTGTGAACATATAGTGATAAAATTATGATTTTACAGTTATTGAATTATGAATGTACAGTTATTCAATTATGAATGTACAGTTATGCAATTATGAATATATAGTTATGGAATTATGAACACAGAGTTCTGACATTATGAACTTACAATATGAACATATAGTGATAAAATTATGAACATAGAGCTCTAAAATTGTGAACATAGAGCTTCGAAAATTATGAAGTTACAATTATTGAATTATGAATGTACAGTTACGAAATTGTGAATGTACAGTTATGGAAGTATGAATGTACAGTTATTGAATTATGAACATTATGAACATATAGTAATAAAATTATGAACATATACTCACATAACGAATTTGAAATTAAAAAAAAAAAAAAAAAAAAAAAAAAAAAAAAAAAAAAAAAAAAAAAGAAGAAGAAGATAACAGTGCCTTAATTAAAAAAAAAAAAAAAAAAAGAGATAACAGTGCCTAACGTCATTGTTACCCTGTCCAGCATGCATGCTGGACACAGGTCCAGAGCATAACGATTGTTAAAATTTTGGTACTTTTAAATTAATATTTTAAATGTTCAATTTTAATAAACTAGTTCATTTATACTAATAATTATAATTTTGTACATTTCAATCAATATAAACCTTCATTTTAAAATTTCAAATAAAAATAATTAATATATCTATACCATAATAATGTAATTAATGTTTTTTTTAATCTTCCATTATTTATTTTCATTAAAATATTTTATTTTGTAATAAATTTATTAAAATTTTATATACAAAGTTAATTAAATTACTAAAGATGTACATAAATATAAATTTGTGATATATTTTGTTCTATATCACTTGTGAAACAAATGATAGTCTTTAGTGGCTCAAGTTATCAGGTTAGCCTACTAAATTTCGTGTTAACATGTTTGGGTCATTGGGTTTGTCGATTTCAAGGTTATCGGATTGGATTTTTATCGAACTAAAATTTCTTGGTCTTTTTTTTTTTTTTTTTTTTTTTTTTTTTGAGTTATCGAGCTAGCTCATTGATTTTAGGCTAAGATTGACATGCCTAACTGTATACCTATTATAATTAACATATTATATATACTTGCCGCCAAGCGCCTTGTGCTCAAATCGCATGTAATGACTTTCTCATATTGGGGGGTCATAAGATCGAGCCTCAGTGAATGCGGTGTTGACTCTACAGGAGCCAAAGTAGAGGACATGATTTGAGGTCCCCCCCCCCCCCCCCCCCCTGTGTGAGGAGCTAAAGGGTTAAGGCCATTATAATAGGGTGAGATATTTTTCAAGGGATACTCGATCCTGACCCGAACATCATTACACTTTGCGATCCACCCAATTCTGGCATTAGTCTAAAATGATATTTAAATTATATACTTAACATATTATGTAATTCAGTTAATAAATTATATACATATTATAACATATTATCAATTAATTAATTACGTACGTGTACATAATCTGTTGGTTTTATGACTTTTGGATAGTCAACAACTGACCAACACAACCCTTAAAATAACGAGTATATAGGAAATAGGAAAATATAGAGGGAATATGGAGAGAATATATGTATTGCATTGCTCTGAATTGCTTGTGTATGATGAAAATTGCTTGTCCATGGTGAAAATTGCTTGTCCATTATTATATCATAAATCAGAATTCATATTATATTGGACTCAAACATATAAAAATAATATTCAAATTGATCAAATTTATAAGCATAATATTCAAAATGATTAAGTATTTTTTTATCTGTATAAATCATTAATATTTCTGATGCTAGCTCAACACACCTTATATAATTGTTAAAATTAGTTGATTGAATTATAGGAATTATAGGTATTTACCAGGTCAAAAAGGTCCCTATTACTGAACAAAAAAGTGTGATTTATCTATTAAAACATTAAAATAAAGAGAATCATGCAATTCATCTATTAAAATTACAAAAATCGTGTAAATTTTTTCTTTTTAGCAAGTAACGACTTTATGTATATTTTTTGTGACATTATCGTGGAAATAATTGAAGTTAATCGAAGACAACCATCATAGCTATTTGATCTTTGTGTGCCTGTTTTCTTGTGATGAAGACAACCATGGTTGGTAGGAGTGCCAAAATCATATGGGTAAATTGAAAAACTAATTTTCAAAGTTAACTTTTCATAAGTTAAAATTATTTGTAATTAGCTTCTCATAAGAAAGTTTAAATTTTTATATTCCGTAAAAAATTGTTTATTAAATAGTTTCAAAAAGCATAAGTCACCCTTATATAGTTTAAGGACTATTTACACATGAACATGGTTATCCATTATACATTATTAGGTATTTGGGTAGTGTTTATAAATTTTTCATCCCCCAAAAAAATAAAAACTAGCGGATTAAGTTAGATATCTTTAGTAATAAATTAGTCTAGTTACTAATTAATATTCGGATGGTTTATTATATAATTTTATCAAATCTTTAGCTTACAACTTTTATTATAATTTATTCATTCTATTTAAAATGAATTAACAATATAATTTTTTTATTGAATTTTATAGTTGGTTAATTTATAAAGCTAAGTGGATTTCTTTTCTTTCTATCCATTAATCCCATGACTTGAATATTACTCCCTAAATATCCTTAATATTTTTCATTTTTAAAAGGCCACCTGAAATTTAAGACCAACCAATCGATAAAATGGAGAACTTCTTTCTTTTACATACACAAAAAATGACTATATATGTTTCAACTTTCAAATGATGAAAGCAAATGAATTGAAGTTTATTACTCTCCTTTAGACTTGCCGCCTGTCCAGTAACTTTTTACAGCAACAAGAATCTTCTCCGGGTTAAATGGCCCGCTTTCGTGATCCATAATCCGACTCCGCCACCTCATCCCATCTGTTATACTCTTCACCTTCACCAACACCTCCACCACGTCTCTCATTATTACTGTCCCTTCTGGCCTCAGTATTCTATCCATCTCCAGCAAAATGTACACTATGTCACACCTGTACTCCAACATATAAAATATAAAATATGCAGTTTAATATTGTATCTTTTTTGAGTAATGAGAAAAATTTATAGTCACAATTTAAGTATGTGCATGGGCAATCCTACTTTGTAACTCTAATTAGCAAAAAATCACTGTTGGGTGTTGGTCAGATCCGCCGAGTTCAGCCCCTACTCAATTCGAGACGTGGCGTTGTGAATTACCATGGAGGGATGTGGTTAAATGATTAATTTTGTCCACCTACTTATCACCAATTGGTTTTAAGTAGGATATGACAATTCAACCAGATACCCAAGGAACTCGGTTAAGCCTTACAACAGTCACAGAATGGGTGACTCCGGCCCTAAGAAGTAAGCATAATGCAGTGTTGAGATCCAACAATCACAAGGAGGTAATACGGTAGGTTGCTCACTTGCTCTCGGCTCAAACCAGGAAGGCTAATAGGCCAAAAGGGCAGCTGTAGCTAAGTTGGTTTGGGTGTTGACATGATAATCACCATGTTCCAAGTTGGACTCTCAGTGGGGGTAGCCCAAGGCTAATAGGCCAAAAAGGCAGCTGTAGCTAAGTTGGTTTGGGTGTTTGATAATCACCATGTTCCAAGTTGGACTCTCAGTGGGGGTAGCCTATTGGCCTTCTTGTTCGCTATTCTCACATAGAGTTGAATAACATGTGAATAACATGTGTCTCAACCTACTGAAACACAAAGAACCAAAACACAAAAAACCAATAACGTCTTCACCAAGGCTCAAACTCATTACCTTCCAAATGAAAGTCTAACCCGGATACCATTAGACCACATAGTCTTGGTATTAAGTCTAACAGTTTAATCAACTTAATTAGCAAGTATCTCATGTACTATTAAAATGGAACACATTATTTAATTTGTTATGAAGCAGTTTAATTACCTGTCTTGATATATGCTGAAAACCCGGGCGGCATGGATGAGATCATATGTTCTGGGATATGTTGAGAATGCTTCGCACCAATCCTGGTACGTGCCGATGAGTCCTCGTTGGTATATTATCCCCAGAGTGTCGGGTTGTACGGTGACAGGGACGACATTCATTACCCAAACTTGGTACTTCAACAATGCCGCTGCGAATCCGCCGAGGTTAGCATTCATGTCCATTACGTTGCGGTACTGCCCTTGCGCTAAGGGACTTACGATGCGGCTGTAATGTGACACCTTGCGTTTCCATTCTTCATTATCAGCTTGGAATTTCTCCGGCGTGATTCCGGGGACTGTCCCGGAGATGATCCTTGGAGGAACTGCAAACGCACGGTCCGGCCACTTCTCTAATGCACCGCCGGCCACTTCATCCGCGTTGCCCACAACCGGCAGTGGGGTGGTACACAACTCCATATCCTTGTACCTTAAACACCATTTGGATCGGATCACGAGGTGTCATACATTTTGCATAGATTAAGAACTAAATTTGCTGTCTTGTGTTATGAAATTATGTACAAATATTTTTGATCCAGGGTCATAATATTATTTGGACCCTTATTTTATATGCTTAACAAAGTATATATGTACCATGCTGCGTCGGCATTAGTGTCCGGTTTGCAGAAAGGCAAGGAATCAGACATTGATTTGACCTTGGCACACTGAAGGTGGTTGATGGGCTTTTGCCACACTGCTAAATCGCCCTTTTCCATCACTTTTTTCCAGCATAATTTTCTGGCATGCTCCTCAATGGAATCTTGTTCTTTCTTCAAGTCTTCTTGTGTCCTCTCCCACCCTCTCCAGTGTCGCTTCCACCTGACCGGAGGGCCCGACAGTATCCAATATCCCCCCGGACTAAGAACTCTATCAACTTCTGCTAAATACAGCCCATCTGCAACCATTACATCATATACAATTTGGGTATAAATATAATCTTTAGACTTAGACTTTTAGTCGAGACAGACAGAATGTTAAAATGTTACCAAAGTCGGCCCAAGGTATGAGGCACCGGGAGCAATGAGCCATGTCGAAAGCTCTTGCTGGGTAGGGCATTCTCTGGGAGCCCAAGGCGCCAATCATCGCCGGAACGCCTCTCTCCAATGCGAACCACACCTGAGCTTCGTGTGTGTCCATCGGAGCAAAAGACATGGCTATGATTTCCCTTTTCAACAAGTATGCACCCCAACTCGCAACCTTAAATATGTGAATTTCAATTAATCTCAGATATATAACCCAAATTAAATTGGTTAGACAGCTGATTTAGTAATCACGAAATTTTAAATTTAACTGTAGTTCATGACAAATTAGGCTAGTTTATCTCTTTATGATCTTTCGTCAGTTAAATCAATACAACTGATTCAGTAATCACAGAATTTTAAGTTTAATTATAGTTTATGACACACTAAACTAATTTATCTCTTTATGATCTTTTACCGCTAAATTTGTACACATCATTTTGAAATGGTTGCAGTTTTTCTTGTCATCCAATATATATATACAAAGCAATATGTACTTACTCCGCAGCCTGTATCAAGAGCAGTTCGGACGGATCCAGTGGTGAGGGGAATGAGCTCGGTCATGTCATCAATGTAGGCGTCAGCGCCATGTGGAAAGCCGGTGCCACCGCCGGGAAATCTGAGGCGGTCACCCACCACCTGAACCCAATTCTGAACCGCCTTCTCAACGCTAAGCTCTTTGTGGGGAATATTGGCAAACCAAGCGAAATCTCTGCTCTGGGGCCATTTGAAGGGGATCTTGTAGTTGGGCGGCGCCGGGATGAGGCAGCGGAGGAGCTCCTCCTTGGTGGGGCAGTGCCGCTCCCGGTATTTCATCATTTCCCGGTCAAATTTCCTCCCCCTTTGCCTGTCCTGGCACGGAGCGTACTCGCTGTAAGCCATGTCACACGGAGGAAAGCTCACCGGCTGATCACCGGAATCGTTCACCGTTAACCGATGATGGCTCTCAAAGTCCAGAGCCGGCGACGAGGAGATGGACTTACCGGACGACGACGACGACGACGACGTTGTCGACGGTGATCCCACTTTCTTATCACACCCGATTCGGTTGTAGAAATCTGATTGGTTAGCAGGGATATATGTTGTCGTCTGCCATGCTCCAATAACATAGGATATTATACACAACCCACTCACCGCCAAAATCCACGTCAGCCGTCGCCGTTTTGTTTCCAGCTGGTGAAGCTTTGGGGATCCACTATACTCCTTCGCCATTTATGTATTATATATTCCACCAGAATCTATATATGTTATATCAACAATAATCAATCAAATTAAGTTGAACCTCGATTGTTCTGATCTGATCTGCACGAGTGAGTACGTGCATGCATGCATGGAAAACAACATAATATAGTACGATCGATCTGTCCTTGAATTGGTAGTTAGTATAGGAGAGTGAAAATGTTGTCTTAACTGAGAAAACAGGAAGTAGATCGATATAGTCGTGGTCCTGTTCCTCCGCATGTACATGTTCCATCCAACTCTCCTATGATATGATATTCCACTTGACACTTGTATACTGATCCAATGTATCAGTGTTACATATTTTTGACATATTTTATTTCCTAAATAATAACTTAAATAAACTTCATAAGTTTTAATATAAAGTTGATGATGATCTCAAATAAGACTACATATTTTTTTAGTGAAAAAGTATTTTTTTATAGATTAACAAGTATTATTCAAAAAAAAAAAAAAAAAAAAAAAAAAAGTAACGTATTGCTATACATTTGATAGCATTAATAAGTACATGACTATATGATATGTATACAGGGATAAGAGTATACAACTAATTAAGGTATACAAAGTAGTAGAGTAAAGAGTATTCTATTTATAATATAAGAGTTCTTAGTATAATTCAAGTGTACTATAAAGCTAAGGAGGTTGGTAACGTAGACTTTATAATGATTGGAAAGTGTAGTGCTAAGTCGAAAAATTTGAATCCCTCTACTATTGGCTAAAGGAAGTCTCTATATATTGTTGGAGCAGAAAACACACGCCAAGTTTTCACCTGATGGAGTGATGGGTTCAATACTCATGACTCAAGATAGTCATGACACATGTTGAATGTTGATCTTGGGGATCATATATATCCATAATAGTGATGACAAGAGTGATTGTTTGTCATCCTTTTCCATTCTTGGTGACCGGGCTTCCTAGTCTTAATTAAAGCTCAAGTTCGGTTTGAGTATAGTCATCCTTTGCCTAAGTAATGTCATTAATATGCCTACCTATGATGTGAGTTGTAGGAAGTAGTAGTTGCTTAATTAGATTCGGTTGGCTTCTCGATAAAGTCACAAGTATATTCATTGTATTACCTCATCAATAGTTTTATTGAAAAGTATTACGGAGTAGTAAAACATGTAATGCTTTCGCATAAAAATGTAATTAATATTTGTTCAGTCATTAAAAAATGTATTACATTTTCAGTTCTATCTCACATAAGATGGTCTCAGACTAATCAATCAAGATTTAAATGATTATTTTGTGCATAAAAAAAAAAAAAAGAAAAAATTTCACTTTTACCGCTTGAATTGACTTTTATGATATCGCCACATTTAGTTTTACTGTTTTAATTTTATTTTATTACTTCATTGACTTTTATTTGTTTCCCACAATTAGTCATCTGTCTAAATTTCTATCATTTTACCAATTGATAAAAAGGGTTAATATGTAATTTTACCTTCAAGCGTCTTGTCTCAAAATGTAATTTCTTTTTAATTGAATGAAGAATTACATGTGGTTAATTAATCTTGTTTTGTTTTTTAATTAAATAGAGGAGTGATAGAATTTAATTAAACAAATGACTAATTGTGAAAAATAAATAAAAGTCAAGGTTGTAATGTGATGAAATTTAAAAAGTAAGACTAAATGTGACAATGTAACAATAATTGATGACTAAAAGTTGAATTTGTTCTATTTAAAAAAAAGAAGAAGAAGAAGAAGAAGAAGAAGAAGAAGAAGAAGAAGAAGAAGAAGAAAGAAGAAGAAAGTATATAAGATTGAGGTTCCTATAATTTGATTGAGTAGGATACCAATAATATGCTAAAACTACTAATAAAGATATATTCAGAAGTTAATGTTAAACGAGATTTAGAACCCGTAATGAATGAAACCCTTGATAGCCATGAGACAACTAACTTTGAGTGTTGATTTTAAGACTTATGCAATCAACGATTAGCTAACACAACTAATTGATAGAACGAAAGAATTGCTAAGAAAATTTGGAATAATGATGATAAAGTGTCTATTATATTACTTTTGAAAAAAGATCAAGTTTTGAACCCCATGCAAAGCCTTTTTCAAGATATTTATACGTCATATTATCAATCGTTATATCCTACACCACGGCGCACATAGCACTATGCGCCGCGCGCCTCCCAAAACGACATCGTTTTGGGGTAGTGTTGGGAGACGCGGTAGAAAGTTGCTGAGATTATGTGTATTTGTTCACAACGTTATGTGTATTTGTTCACAACGTTATGTGTATTGGTTCATACAGTTATGTGTATTTTTTATATAATTATGTACATTCTTTTTATACAATTATGTACATCTGAATCGGAAAATTTGTGTGTATTATGTTAAGAGTTGATGTGTATTATGTTAAAAGTTTATGTTTATTATGTATTATGTTAGATTATGTGTATTATCTTTTAAAAAGAGTATGTATATTTTGTTATATAATTATGTACATTCATGTATAACATTATGTGTATTCTAGTATAACATTATGTACATTCTTGAACAGCGGATTTTTTTTTTAAGAAAAAACTACTGCCATTCACTGGGGCGGGAAATTTCAAAAAAAAAATAATAATAATAATTAAAACGACGTCGTTTTGCATCTGGGCGCATAGTGCAACGCGCGCCGTGGTGTAGGATATAAATTGCCTCATATTATATTGTGGGCCAAGTTCCACCTTGCATGGTGGACTCTGGTCCAAAACAACGTCATTTTTATATTAAGTGTCAACTACTGCATTATATTAAATACTGTAACAATCATCATGTACTATACTTATATATTTGTTCTATATGTCCATAAACTTAAACCTTAATGTCCATAAAGACTAAAATAAACGCACATCATATATATTTTGTATTATTCTGACTACAAAATCTTCTTTTTCTATTACTAGTTCACTTCCTAATGAAACTACACTATCTATACCCATCCCATCACTGGGAGTGATCTAAATAACTAAATTTGTTATTGGAATGGTCACAAAACCCTACATGTATCATTGTCACCACTTGAGTCCAAGCAAAAAAAAAAAAAAAAAAACTATTTATGTTTATCTAGTTATTTATTTTCACATTTTCAAAAAAAAAAAAAAGTTATTTATTTTCACATTTTTTTCAACCGCTCATGAATATATGTAATGTATTGTACGACGTGACTGCTACCAGTGAGACCAAATCAATCAGCATTTGCTATTAAATCATCCATTTTTAATGGTCAGTGTTATTGATTAACGTACGTAATTCATTTATCAGCGTGTGATTTAAAGCCAATTCGTCTTGTAATTAATTTATTTTTCTTGTATATATTAACTTCCTTATTGTCGAGCCCCACTCACCACTACCATCCGCACATTGAACGGGGCATATGACGTTGTCCCCATGGAACATCATATGATTAAGAATTAAGAATACAAAGATGTTTGCATTCAAAAAAAAAAGAATACAAAGATGTTTGCTTTACTCTTTTGATTTATGAAAAAATTCATAACCATTATTATAAAATTTGTTTGAAATGAAGCACATCTTGTGACTTTAGCCAATAACAAGCCGTAAATATTATTATCGTTACATATTCCAATCTTATGAAGAAAGGAAAATGAAAAAACAATTGTAACAATACTTTTTTTCTTTAATGAATCGAGATCAACACATCTCACAATATCATATTAGTGAGTAAAAATTAAGTTAAAAAAATAGTAAAATTAAAATAATACTACCTCTTTAAGTAATATAGGGTGTTAGTTAACAATTTGAAACAATTAGTAAGCCGACTAGCTACTAATGCAACTGCAATGATTCACCATGTTAAAGAGCTATGGATAAGATTTAGTCTCATAACAGTGAAAATAGTTTTAGGTCAAGTTTAATTTCACAATGATGGCGATCAGGGACGGATCCGGAAATTTTCGTCAGTGAGGGCGAAAGAAAAATAAAATGAAATACTTAAAGGCTGAGCCATAAATATTGTTGACTAGGATAAAAAAAAATACATTCAAACGCGATAAAAATATTCAAAACAAAAACATAGTTCAAATATAAATTATATTACTATTAATATTTAAAAGAAAACCCCAATGTTATATATAAAGAATCCAATTAGAATTAGAAATTAATTTAATCTCATAAATCACAATTATAATCTCATTATTAATATTCAAAAAGGCCAAAAAATAAAATTTAGACAATCAATGCCTTCAAGATTCAAACCCATGACACTTCACACATTACCATAGACCTAACCATCTATGCACATTTAGTATTTATACACGTTTAGGCACTGTTTGGCAAACCTAGCTGAAAAGCTATAAGCTAAGAGCTGAAAGCTGAAAAGGAGCTGAAAGTTGAAAGGCTATAAGCTAGGAGCTGAAAACCGAAGAGCTGTTAAGTTAGCTGTTATGATTGAAAGTGTTTGGTAAAATTAGCTTTTTGATAAGCTGATAAATGTAAAAAGACTAAAAAAGACATCTTCAAAAAATTTAAAGTAGTTTGTTTACATATTAAAATTTGACATTTTGTCTTTAAAAAATTTAACATTTTGAAATAAAACTATTAGCATAATCATGATCTAGCATCTCATACTGTTATATGAACAACAACTCATCTATAAATTGTTATTCGCAGTCAATAAGGGAATAACCTCAGAATATATACAAGTAATACAACAAAATAATATAAACGACATACCTGCGGACTATTGGGGACTGTGGGGTGCGATGGTTGATGCTGCGGATTACGATGGCTGATGGACGATGGAGTGAGAATGAAGACAAATGAAGATGAAGGGAGCGGAGTGCGAATGAAGATGGAGGGATTGTCGTGCGGTGAAAGTTGTTGAGAAGATAAAAGGGTTTTAATTGAGAAGGGTAGAATATGTCATTTCTTTAAAATAATAAGAATAAACATGAAAAAAAAAAAGTTAGGAAGCTAGTAGCTTATTTTGAAAAGGTAGCTAAGGTAGTGTTTCAAAATAAGCTCTTATTTTAAGCTAGGAACTTATTTTGGGAACATTACCAAACAAAACTTATAGCTTATTAGTAGTTTAAAATAAGCTATAAGCTCCTAAATAAGCTCTGCCAAACAGAGCCTTAGTCTGTATATATAAGGGGCCTATACATACAATATATATATATAAGGGATGGGGGTGGG